CCTTGAAAACGCGTAATCTAAACAATGTTTCCCATCCCAAGAATAATCTCCAGATATACTCATGTGTTTATACACCTGGTCTACTCCTCCTCTGTGCACGATAAATTAATTGATCCTACCAAAATTGCAGATACTGTCAAATAAATACTTGGAATTATATATAATGTAAAGGCTGAATACGAAATGTAAACATTTTAGCACAAATAACAGAATAAAACTGAATGTGTAGTCTCTGTTTGCCAAGAATATTCGTCGGGGTGAGTCGAACAGATCCGGAATGAGCCGACAATCAATTGTGCAGGACTGGAATAACAGAAAAGTGCAACTATATTTCCAATTGAAAGTTAGAAGAGAAAAATTGCTCAAAGGCATTAAATTCTTAACCTTGTTTATCACAAAATAGATACCTTTCAAAGGTTCGATAACAACTAACTACAGACTGACGTAAATAAGTATGCGTCTGAAATATTTCTGCCCACGAATACACACTCGGTACGGCAAGGGAAAGCTTCAGGTAGGCTCCCAAATTACAGCGGCTACGTCTTATCCTTTTTTAGCAGAATGCGTTGCGCATAACTCGTGTTAACCGCCGCGCCGTTGTCACATTGTTCGATGTGAATTTTATCGAATTTTAAATTTATTACAACGCTAATTATTTTTTAGAATTAAGCATAAAGAAGTTCAAAAAAGTGCTAAACATTGTATTTTATGGTATTCTATGCTCGCAGTTTTATCAATATTCCTTAAATAATCAAACTTTTGTACATCAAGTTAGAGATTGTGATAATTTTTTTCTCGGAATTGGTAGAGTTTAGAACCCATACGGTTTTTTTTGTTTATTTTAATGTATTCTATCATCTGTTAAAATTAAAGCAGTCAAACTGCTAACACCCTGTTTTATAAAACTTTCATTAAATACTAAACCTAAAAAAAATTGTTCTGCAGAAGATATACCTTAAAATTTTGGTCTTCTCTCTTTATCACACCTATTGCGGACTCTCTTCTTGATCTGCACATCTCGCGGACAAGATGAGCTATATTTAGCATATCTTTCAAACGTTGATAAACAAATAAGTGGAAAGTGTACTCTCTATTTAGGTGCAATGGTTTGTTCTCTAAGTGTGACTGATATTATCAGATATCAGAGTAAATATTTCAAAAACTAAAAGCAGTATTACAATAAAAGTGTTAATCGGAGAACAAAGAATTTATTTATCTTCGAAGGATACATGTGATCTAAAACTTATCTCATACCGTTCATTGTATGGTTTGGTTTACACAAAAGTTTACACCTCCATCGCTAATTACCGTTAATATTGAAAATAACATAAGGCAATTAACAGTCAGTAGGAGTGTCAGGGTAGTATTTAGAATCGGTGTCACTGAGTAACTGCAAAAATACCAGTTTGATGAAATTTCGAAAACCGTAGTTAGATTCTGTATAACATAAAAACAATTAATTATTATTGTTTTTTCAAATCTATTACTTTTCTTTAAAACGAGATACAATTGCTCAAATTTTCAACTTTCCTCGAGTCATATGAATCATGAAATGAGAAATTTATGGATTCCTTTATTGGGTAAAATGCCGTAAATATTAAAATGTTTATCCATAAATAATTATATAGACAAATAGACAAACATACGACAGTTGAACCGGTGAATTAGAGAATAATGTACATATACTTCCGCTGGTATGTTTTGTGTTTAAAATATTTTAAAATTTGCAATATCGGTGCATAAATTGCTGTAAAATTTTGTGTTTGGAAATCTAGTGAATTAGAAGGGCATACCTTGATTGATAGAAATGGCGTAAAAGTGTTGAAACAGTGCTTGTGAGACTAACATAATTTAAGGATGAATTTAAAAGCTCTGCTGTCTGTTAGCTAGGTTGGAATTTCCAATTAGTATTTGACAACATGTAAATTCCTTTGAATATCATCGTACATTTTCAGAATTATTAAAATGAAAAATCTGATTTATTTGTAAATCAAAACTACTTTCTCAAAATTTGAAAAAATAGTACTACTCTAGTTATTTGTGCCCACTCACCTGATTTTAGCACATTTATAATACCTAGTTTAAATTGAATAATCCGCGACAATATTTTTTATGTGTTCGCAATTTTTAAATATACAACCGCTGACTTATTGCCAAGGTGATTTATCCCTGTATATTTTTTATGATCACTTCCTGACGGTTAATACCTCAGAATGTATGTCATGGTTGATGGGTTAAAAATAAATATTGCAGTTGATATAAGTAGAATAAGAAACATAAGTTGATATTTTCTAAATTTTTAAAATACCCCTAATAATATTTCTTTGTTAACGACATTACGATATTATACGAGGTGTTCAAGAAAGGGGAAACAACGATGAATCATAGACTCCTAGGATCAAAATAAAATCATTTAGACCAACTTGCGTATATAGAAATGTCGATGAATTTTATAAAAATTATTGACTTGTGAAATAGCTTAATTAAACTAAAATAAAAATACACAAATTAAAAGGTTCTGTTTGTGTTCAAAATGTATGTTAAGGTGGCCATATCCGGTGACCGAGAAATGGTGAAATTTCTGGCATTTTTAGGTACTGAAATCTTGAAAAGTAAAACGTGTAGAACAAAAGTAAGCACAAAAATAAAATCCTTGATGTTTGTTTATTCATTGTTACCATTTATATTTACCCAAATAAAATAATAACTACAAAAAGGCGTTTGTAAAACATGCGTTTTCTGTTATCCTAACCCCACATTTTAAGAATTATTTTCACGTACTTATAAATAAAAGTAAACAATTTTATATGTAGGACTAAGCGAGTAAATGTTATAAGAATATTTACATGTGGAGTTATGTCTAAAAAAGTTAGTATTTTCGTAGATTTCAGTACCTAAAACCTTGATGGTTTGATAGTTTTTTGCACCTGTTTATTCGTTTTACTGCGGAGTCTTTGAAAATACTCAGGTGGCATGACATAACATTCCTATTATTTGATAAGCTTTAGATTATTCAGTTATTAAATGTTTGAAATTATTTGTCTTTGCGGAAAACACTATTTAAAGAATATGGGGCCCTTAATGTTTTTGGTGGCAAATATTTCTCACTTTACAATTCATTGATTTATCAAATAAAAAAGTATGAAAATAGTTTCATTATTATAAAATTTGGTAAAAGGATATATATTTTTTTAAATTTTATATGAATCTTGCCTTACTAGGCCTTATATTTCAGTAATAATAAAATGCCAAATTTCAACTTTATTTTTGACACCTAAATAAGACTAGCTTGTAGACATCCTGTAAATATTAAATGTTGAAAAAGAATTGGTCATTCATCTGTTCCTAAATTTACATAAGAACTCTACTACATTTCTGTCATTTTTTATACATGACACCCTACATATGTTGACATCCTGAAAACTGACTTTTTTCGCAAGTACCTATAAAATTTTTCCTAAAATAAAAAATAATATAAAATATACAGGGTGTTCCGTTCATGTTTCAAAAAAACTTGCCTGCAAATTCCTCATGTGAAAATAATGCGGGTATTTCATGTGACTTTTTTTTCTTCGACGCCTTGTTTTCGAAATACGATGTGTTGAAGTTGTTACTTTCCAAATCGTTTTCCTTAATTATCTTTAAATCGGCTAAAGATAAAAATGTCAAAATTTGTACACGAGTAAACATAAATTGTGTGTTAAAAATAATGTGCAAACGGTTTCTTTCTGAAAATCAGTCTCGCCGATACAAGGAGGGGTACAATAGAAAAAAAATATATTAAAAGTCAAAATTTGTTACATTTCTAAACGGTTTTGTAAACTCTAAGGCGTACGCCAAAGAAAAGGTATATTTGTCAAAATTCGGTAGCATGTACCATATCTTTTTTTTTTTTGTTAGTATGCTTTAGAGTTTACAAAACCGTTTAGAAATTGAACAAATTAATTGTGCAAAACTGTTTGCACATTATTCTTAACGCACAATTGATATTTACTCGTGTACAAATTTTGACATTTTTATCTTTAGCCGATTTAAAGATAACTAAGGAAAACTATTTGGAAAGTAACAACTGAAACACACTGTATCTCGAAAACAGGGCGTCTATGAAAAAACGTTATATGAACTAGCCCCGGTATTTTCCCTTGAGGATGTTGCACACATTTTTTTTTTAAACACGAACGGGACACCCTGTATACGAACAAAAAATTTATGGGGCATTCAAAAGGGTCACTCTGTTTTTCCTTTTCTGGCATATTTAAGAAAAATGTTACACTCGAATAAACAAAAACATGTATCGAAGAAGTCCCTACCTAAAATCGCTTTAGAATAACATTAAAAAAAAAATCTTGCTTTGTGGTACTACATTAAAGATTCTAAATCTCAGTAGGCGGTGACTTTTATAAACTACTACAGAGCCTTTATAAATGTTTGCAAGCTACGCAACTGCCGAGCTTAGGCAACCCAAAATTGCACGATTGGTAACGAAAATTCCCTAAATCTTGGGCTTCACCAATGTTAATGATTCGTTTACAATGAACAATGACAAACCGTTACGTCTATGCTCAAGATAATGCGATCGCTGATTGGTGAAACAGAATGTTGTGTTTTAATTTAATTATTACGTAATTTTACTAGATTTTTCTTTTTATTATTAAAAATAGAAAACTTTTATTGTCCTACAGCAATGATAGATTTTCGGTTAAATAATAATTTTAGATGGACTTTGAAGGCAGAAAATATTTTCTATTACGAATACTTTTCAAATTCATCCTTAATTTTAGTGTTGCAATTTGTAAAGTTAAGTACGGTCCTGTGCGAAATCTTCAGGTTAATTTTTAGTTAAAAATACACCGACTGGAGTCAGCGAGATCGTTTCATCTCCCCGATGGCGGCCAAAATAGACGCGACGAGCGCCCGTGGACGTCTGAGATAGGCCCGGGTGCGTTAGACGCGAGGTAAACCGTCCATTTAGTGTAGTTTTGTATTTATAACAGTGGGAAGAGAGATAATCGCACCGAAATCCCAATCGGCACATGGCTGGCTCCTCCTTGGGAAAGTAGTGTTAAAATAATCGCCGTCCCGACGCATCCAGGGCGTCCACTTACGCGGAAACTCGAAATTGTGCAGCATGTGTCGACAGGTTCACGTGCTATGAAGGGAACACCCAGCGATGTGACCACGAGCTGGCCTTTCGCGACAGTGATCCTTCCACCCATGACCTCCACCAAAACATGATGGCCTGACGGAGAAGACAGTCGCGGAATTATGAAACTCCGACCCTACATCCGTGAAACTTAAGTAAGATGTTGGATATTTTCCGAGGACTAAAATCTCTCGTCCGGGTCAGCCACATCCACATCGATTCGCCCGTCTTTCGACTGCACTATTCCATTACCGTGTCCATTCTCATCGCATTTAGCCTCATAGTGACTACCAGGCAGTACGTGGGGAACCCCATAGACTGCATCCACACCAAGGAGATCCCAGAGGATGTCTTCAACACGTTCTGTTGGATACACTCCACGTTCACGGTGTCCAACAACAAGCAGGAGCCCTACGCCAGGATGTACCTACCTGGTAGTCCTGGGGTGCGCACATCCCACAACGAGAAAGAGAAGAAAGTCTACAGATACTACCAGTGGGTCTGCTTCTGCTTATTCTTCCAAGTGAGTAACTCTGTTGTTTCAGGACAATCGAACTATTTCGGCTATTTCTTAATGTAGGTACGTGTTTATTTTTTCTGCCGGATTAATTGTTTCAGTTCATTGTCTGGTTCCGTGATGAAACGTTTGAAAAATGCTCGACAGCCTTGTCAATACATAGGCATAACAGTTTCAATCATAACAGTTTCAACTTACGGTAAACGTTGATAAATGTACGACCGAGACGAAGTGAAACAATTTATCAAAAAATATCAACAAATGTAACTGTGATCGACTTCTCAAGATCAATTTTCTCTTAATAAAAATAAAGATAAAGCACCATTAATAAATAATCGCAGTTATGACAACACTTATTTTAAAAAAATCATGTAAAATTCAGTATCTCCATAAGCTAGTAAAGTTTTCCGAAAATATGTAATAAAATTTAAGATGAAGACAATATGTCAGCAATTATCGACTATTACAATATTTTGAACACTCTTTAAACGTGTCGCATCAAATTATATGTCGTACTCAGAGATTTTATGTCAAAACTATGTTCCAAAAGTATTATGTTAATGTAAGCCACCTAAAATTTAGTATATAACAAGTGTTGATATTTTAATTTTTGAGTTATATGATTGGGTAGCACCAGAGTTATATTTTTTAAAGAAAAATAAATTTAGATTCGAAGCTTAAATGAAGCTATTAGCTACTTTAGGTGTTCCTATTGAATCGAGACAACTTATATTATAGACGCTACATAACAAATGTATATAACTATAACAATATACGAGTATATTAAATTAACCATCACTTTGATGTCTTCAACTGTTGAAATTTGATGTGAAAGAATTCCACTGCGTGTTCTCCAAATACATCTGTGGATCTAAATATATAAATTCCATTATGAAATGGAATTTTATTCACATATTTTTATAAATTTATTTTAGTCATACGTCAAACACAAATATTATAAAAAATGATTAGTTGTAAAATATAACTGTAGTTTAACTATGAAATTATTGTTAACATAAATTGTAGTAAGCTATGCTTGAACGTTTCTGCAGACCGTAAAAAGCATTTTTAAACAATAAACATATTTAAAAAAGTTGCACTGACATAATTTATAAATATATCAATACTTATTGATCCTACTTACAATTTGCATGCAAAAACAGAATCGCAACTGTTTGTTGTGCCTGAACCATGCTAGCATATCTTCTCAGTTTGTAATAACGAAAAAATCAAAGAGAAATGAATTGTTCCAAAAAATATTACAATAGTTTATGGTTTGTTTGAACAGCCTGTTTCTTAAAAATCAGTATTTATCGTACTTTTGAGCTCGGTTCTGGCACTAATATTTTTAGAAGCCTGCGAATCTCGATTGTAATTACATAACTTTGATTTTAAGAATGAATTTAATCTATAGATAGCCCTCCATTCAAATTTTACTTCTCTAGATACTGGATAACAAATTTTAAACATAGTTTTTCTATAGTAAAATTAATACTGTTTATTAATATTGTTCCTTCTCTAAATAAAAGGAGTGAGGTTCTTTTAAATATTACGTCTATAAACGAAATAAAAAAGTATGCTTCATGTTCTTAAAGATGCGCTGATAAATCAGTTTCATAGAGAAATGATTTGAATAATTTTAAAGCTGATTTAGTTATGTTTACATTACTTTCCCTGTTTCAGTGTAGACATTTTTCAAAACAAATATAAAATTGATAGTGTTATGACACATGGTCTTCAAAAATTGGAACATTATAATACCTGTGACCCTATTCTAGTTAAAATCTAGTCGTATTAATGATGTTGTCATGATCCATTTTTATTTTAATACTATTTCATGTAAACTCAATATGTTATTGCGTCCCCATTCGAATTAAAGAAAAAATAAAGATAAGTTCTACTATTTTAATAATATAAAAGACCTTCGCCTACAGGATATTTTGTTTACAGGAACGTCAATAACGATCATATTTTAACCGAAATACTCATCAAACAATTAAGAAAGGTACTAAGTTGAACTGAATTATGTATTATTTTTTAATTTACATCGAATGAAATTATTAAATAATGTAAATCATAAAAGAAATTTTCTCCCATTTTTGTTTATAACAGTCATAAAATCATTTTGGATAAAAATCGTTTTTCACAGTTCAGTTTCAGTACCTTCCTTTTCCAAAGTTTTGGCCGATCCCCATTAAATTATACCTATCCCAAGAGTGATTGGAAAATTTTGATTTTTTGTATTTTAATTTACTTTTTATGTTTGTCTATTTTTTCTAATTAAAATTCAAAACTTTCCTTAACTTTTTAAAGTGTGCGATATATAGTGATGTGTTTTTGTAATTTAAAAAAAGAAAAAAATATATGTCTTCATTAAATGGGAATGAATTTGAATCAGCAACTTTCTGTGAATTTAGCATAACTTTCCTGTTTCCAAAAAACGTGGGTCAGTCTTTTTATAAAGTTTATTTAATACGTCCCAATTATTTACAGAAGCATTTCTGTCATTGTTTCGTGATTTTCAGCAGCAGTATTTTCGGCGGCTATTTAATTATTTTTGTTTATCACCGTAACGTAACTGGGTAGTAAATCCAATCTTTAAAACTTATTTTAGTTTATGTTTATGTAACCTGTTTTAATTATGGTAACTTCAGTAAAACAAATACACATTACGGGCCATCACTCAACGCCATTTATACTTACTGAATCCATTAAATGAATTGGGAATATTTCACTTTGCAGATGTACCTTTGACGTAATAGAGCATAGCGATAATTTCGTTACTTGGGTATCAAATCCTGCAAATCCAAACTTCAAGAACACATTTAAAATACTTAAGTGGCAATAATTAATTAATACAAGCAGTTTAATAATTGCTTATTTAATACAGAAAATAAATCATATTTGAAAGTTTGGAAGATTTTTTTGAAAAGAGGTTTTCCAGTTTTAGATCTTATCCCTATTTTGGGCTTATTTAAAGACTAACATGTTGATAGAAAATAACACTTTAAGGCAATTTTCGCTGTTCTATTCCAATATCTGATGATATTTTCAGTAGGTACGTTATTATATCTTTCAGTAATTGGATATTAATTTTACTATTTAAATTCATGTAATGTTGTCTGACGGTTTTGTTTCGATTTTACCAAAATAATGTACAATTCAAATATATTGTCGACATATAGATAAAATTTTACAGAAAAAATCGACTTCTCTCCATTTTGTCTAAATTTAATTTCAGATGTTATTTGATTTGATTGATATTAGTCGGTTCTAATTCCGAAAGAGTAAAATTTCAGATTTTGTCTGCTCGGTTTTAGAAAATTTATTATATTTTAGAAAGTCTAACAAATGGATTTTCAAGAAATATCATTTGTTTCGCACAAAATATCAAATCTAGTTCAGATAGTTATTGATTTTAGGATCTATATCTATAATAAAATTAATTTTAATTTTAGTTAGTAACTTTTAAAATATAATTTAAATACTTCTGACAATACATTTAATACTTTTTGAAATAGATGTACCTATATATTATATGTATTATGTAATACATATGACTGAAATGTAATTTACATTTTCTGAATTGAACCTGGTTATTTTAAATTACAACTGACTATCTCTAAAATGTTCATATAGGGTGTTGCGAATTTCATATGCTAAACTTTACTTGGTTCTAAAAATGATAATAAGTATACATAAAAGTGTTTGTAGTTTTCAAGATGCAAGATCAGTTGAAATACAGGAAAATAGTGTTTCAATATTAAAACCCAAGAAAAAACAACGGAGAATTTACTAAAGTATTTAATTTTTTTATTCTTTCTGTGAAATTTTAGTCTTTCTTGGACTGACATTTTTTATGACCAGAATTTTAAAATTTAAATGTTATTGTTGCTTGGTAAAAAATAATTAATCAAGTTTTGTTGTAAATCATTTAAATGACCAAATATAAGTCGTTTTGAAGAATGTCACAATAATAATGATGGTGAAAGTCCTAATTTTTTGCATATCGTGGTATCATTTTATTCTTTGTTCAGTTAATTATTATATTTATACATTTTGTATTCATTCAACACAAATTTCCAGAATTTTAAAAAGATCACTCAAGAAACTTAACATTTTCCAACCCTTGGTTACTTTTTTTCTTCTATTAAGAAGTTTTTTTAATAGGTACAACTTTGCTTATACGATTCGGAAACCCTTTGTATGACTATTTTAACGTCAAATTCCCTTTCTGAAATTTGTCGGGATAACAATGATCATCTGCAATTTTTTATTGACATCCCAGTTTCTATATTGAATCGAACTTTGAGCATATTGTATGCTAAAATTGGAAAATATACTTATGCCCTCTTTAACAATAGAAAGTATAATAATAGTATGCTTGTTGGTCTTTAATTGATTTATATTCCTGTTCCAGTACCACATCAAAAAAGAGTACCTAATTAATATTACAAAGGAAAATGTCTTTGACATGTTGGAAATTGTTACGTTTTTGGTTGTAGTAGAAACCTCTTTCTGAATTTACAATAAACGATCTTATGGTAATCACTTTGATATTGGGAATATTGACGATCAACATTGTTTTTTTATCATCATGTCATTTAAGAGCTCCTCTTGACGACACACGCTTGTGAAACCCACAATAGGAGCATCTAAAATAGAATTCAAGTTATCGTAAACAGTTTCTTTTACTGTTCTCTTTTTTAGCTTCTGCCTTAAGATATTCGCTACCATTTTAAGAGTTAGATAGTTTTCAATTCTTCACTTTATGGATCTTGGGTTTCTTCATTTCATAACCAATAGACTTCTTTTTCATAAACGCTTGGTATTAGTTTTACAAACTTGCGACTGTCCACATTTTTTCATGGCTGGATCCGAACATTGAAATTTGCCGTAAAGGTATTTTTCATTTCATTTCGTTTTTTTTTTTTTCAGATAAACAAACCAAAAGATATTTTCACTTACATTTTTCTTGTTTTTCTCGACATTACTTTATAAACGCC